CTTAATTTCACTGCAAACCACCTGCCATCCGTGTCCACAAGGAACTTATACTCTAGTAAGGAAAATGACAACAAAAACAAAAAGCAGAAAAACAGTGAGCTAATTCTATACAAAAATACTGCCCAGACTGTTAGAGAGGCAGAGGACAGAAAGTTCCTCCCACTGAGATTGGACAGTAAAGCCAACTCTTGATTATCCTAACAAAGAGGGCCAGAACAATGTGTAAAATCAGCATGCCTCACTCACTTCAGAACAAAAGTGAAAAAAACAATAGTCAGATGAATGAAATTCAAATCAACATTTATTGAGTGTCCATGGCTTGCGTTTGTCTTGCTCACGCTCTGTAGGAGGGGCTGCATGAACAGTGAAGTAGCCGAAGAGTTGGCGCTGGAAAGCTGAGGGAATTAAAGTGGCAGGAGAGCTGGGATGCTGATGATGGAGCCTAAAAGAATCTCTGATGGCAGCTTAATGGCGACAGGCAGGCTGTGGTGAGGTCACTGACAGGAAATCGCCTAGAAAACTATTCAGGTTAACATATTTCAACAAGGGTGTGGAAACAGTGTTTGTTTGTTTTAATGTAGGGAACAAGCTAATTTAAAATACATGTATATGTAAATATATGTGTATGTGTGCGTGCGTGTTGTATACATAGTGTGTTTATATATACACACATACATATGTATTGTGTATATATGTATATTTACGTATATATATACATACATGATATATGTACGTGTGTGTGTCTCATAAAAGAGAAAACTACGGCTAAAAGTCCCATTCTACAGTGGGAGAGGTATTTGGACATGCAGGCCATGAACCTTCCCCTTTTCAGGACTTAGCTACTACATCTCATAAGCTCAGTCAATGTCTCAAGCAATGCTAATCAAATTCTGGAACAACTACATGACCCTGTACCTTCTGCCCTTCAAAAGCAGTGGAAATTATTCGTTGGTGCTGAATGGAAATACTGCCTGACTAAAAAGGGCAGTATCTGGAAGTCTGACTTCAAGTCTAGTCCCATTTTGCCACTATGAACTGTATGACTTTGGACAAGGTACTTTGCTTCTCTGACTCTCTGCCTTCTCATTTCTAAAGTGAAGGGAATAGACTAGATTTCTGGCTCTCAGGGAAGGCTAGACACGTGTTGCAAGGGGAAAAGATTTTTCATCTGGCTCTCCCTTCTCTTTAAAGTCCACTTTAGGTCTGGGTGAAAATTACCAAGCTTCTGGGCTGTTTTATGCCATGCTTGCTTGCAAAGGTGTCCAAGCACTGCCCCCCACTTTATCTTTGTAACTTATCTTCTACTCACCCCAAACAGGGTCTACAGCCAACAAACCTGGACCTCCTGCTGCTTGTGGCAGCTGGTCATAGTTTCTTAGGCTTTGTTCACAGCATCTTTGCCACCTCCCACACCCTCTATCCTTACTTAAAAATATTAACATCCTAGTCCTCCCTTTCTCTCAACATCATCTCAGTGAAGCCTTCCCTGGATACCACAAAATGCCTGTAGCATGTCATTGATCACATTCCCTCCTATATCTTAGTTTTGTATGTGTGTGCCTCATCTTACCAGGTGGTATGTTACCACCTCCTATTCACTTTGGTATCACCCACAACACCTCACAGTAGGGACACAGTGAGGGGGATATGCGATGCAGAAATGATGAGAAACAGCTTCGAAGTCAGACAGGCCTGCATTCAAATATCTGTGTGCGCTTGGGTGAGTTATTTCACTTTGCTAAGCCTTCTTGCCCTGCGCTATAAAATGGGATATGAATTCCTACTTTATTACAATTGTCATTAATAGAAAATAATAATTAAAAATGTGGGATAGTACTAGAATTGTGAGCAGTAAATGCTTACTAAACGAATCAGTGAGCCAAGAGACTAATCAAGTGTGATTGACTTACAAAACCCAATTTAGAGATATTTTTGCTAATTGGAAGCCTTTATTTACCTAATTACAGTAGTAAAATACTTTTTTTCCTCAACTCTTCACAGCCAGGACTTGGGTACAAGTCTGCTGTATTGCTCAAAGTTCCTCCCATGGAGGTCTGAGTTTGGCACGTGCTCTCCTTTCCTTTCTTCCGCCCAAGAAAGGGAAATATGCAGTGAAGTCCATGGTCAAGAAACGGAGATTCGGAGGCTGGAATAACTGGAAGCAATTATTTATATGGAGTAACTTAAAAGGTTCTCTGTATTAGAAATTCTCAGAATTAATAATGTTCTGATGACTTTAAAAAATCTCAATAACTAAATCCTAGCAAGGGAAAATATCTTCAGTACAAGTCTTAGGCCCTCTCTATTATATACATCAATTGAATTAAAATTAATAAAATATATTATGCAAACTAAATCCTAAGCTTCAGTTCTATTTGGGGCATAAAAAGTGCCCTTTCTTTTTCTGATCACACATAGACACACTTTCTTCTTCATTTAAATTGTCGTTTTCTTTTAATGCAGACCTTGGCTCAACTCATATTGGGTAACAATGGGGTACTTATCCAATATCCCATATCTACTCTCGTTTTAAAACGTACCCTTCAGCCAGGTGTACTAATCCTGCAGCATTTATTTCTGATATTTCATACAATTTTTTTTAACAAGCATCAAATATTTTCTCCACTCCTTTATGCTCTAAGTAGTTACACCATTAATATATCTGATGGTAGCAGTGAGCTGGAGAGAGCAGAGTGTGGGTACCATGTATCTTAAGTGTGGATTAAAATCCTTTCTTTCCCACTACTTGGTTTCTTTAAGTTAACTTCATTTTTTCTAGGGCTGTACATGGAGCATTTCATTCTAGAGCAACTCAGAAATTAACAAATTAATCACTCTGTGGGCTTTTAAATAATGCTGAATTCATCTCAGTGAAAGTCAACCCCTTATTCTGCATAATATATTTGCTGAGCTTAGGAATTAACACTTGATTTATTCAGGCTATGTTTACATAACCTTCTCTTTGGTTCAAATAAAAAGATTGCCAAAACTGTCCAACATCTATGGGGATGGATTACAGGGAATAAATGGCAGTCTAACTTACCTGACAGAGCTTGTAATGCAGGATTATTACTCCTTGCCCTCTTATCCTTCCAAATTCCATAAACATTTAATGAATACGCACACATTATAACAACAAAAAGCATTAAAAACCAAAACCAAAAAACAAAGCCAAAAGCAATAATCAACTAAGGAGAGGCAATATCAAGTTTCCTTTTATTATTTCAGAATCAATGTTCAATGAAAATCCTCAAGTTTCTTTCTTAATGTGTAGTCTATTATCTAGCTTCAGTTTCACATACATAATCAATGTCAAGTAATATTTATGAAATATATGTGCCAAGTTAAAAGAGAAAAATTTGCATCAGAACACATAACTGATAGGGGTATGTAAGTTCCATTATCCTTGGAGCTAGTCTGTGTGAAATTACAGTGGTAGATTTTCCCTGTTTTAAATAATCAAGTACAAATTAATTTTAAAATATTATAATCTCTACTAAACACAGTGTTGCACCTATTCTTAGCAAAAAACAGAAACAAATGCTACTATTTCTCCTAAAATGGCTGGTTTTGAGGCTGCTCAAGTTTTTCTAAAACAAATAAGACAGTGAAGAAGAAATCCAGTAGTACAAGGGTTGGCACAAATGTCATCACAGACATCTCCCCTTTTACAAAGGGAGCTCCTGACTTCTAAGCTTCATCTAACACTAAAGCGTTCTGTTCACATGATTCTACAGCTAAGACACCACGTTTACATTCAGGAGGGATTCATAAATACCAATTTTCCATGAATGTGTAAACAGATGGGTTAATTACCATGGCAACCAAAAAATGTATCAGATCAAATACTTTGCTGGCAAATGTCCTAGTGATTTTTCAAATACTACCCTTTTACACAAGCTGAGATAAACAGACTGAAGAGCATTCTATAAATAAAATAAATGCTAATGCCTGTAAACGGTGTAATAGTGACCTCCTGATACCTTTTCACAGTTTTAAGATCGAGCAGCTGCACCAAAACAGTGAATCCCATACAAACTGATGTAGGTGCTCCAGAAACAATGATGCAACCAAAACCAGTGGGGAAGAGAAAATCTTCAGGCAGCCACTGAAAGAATTAAATTATTTCCTCAAAGAAGCCCACTAATCATTTGCGTAGAGAAAACAGCCAGAGCAAGGGGCGAGAATGTGTAATAGAGGTAGGCCACCATCTTGAGGAAAAGAGAGTCAATATTCTGGAAAGTGTGTTTTATTTTCTAACTTTCAGGACCAGACTAACTTTATTTTGTTGTATTTTAATATGATGTAAAATTTCTCAAAGAATTTCATTAATAGAATTGTGAATGGCAGTCAACATTCTTGAAAATAATTATAACTATAGGTCCAGCCTATGACTTTTGAAACAAAGCAAGATCACTCCCTAACACACCAACGTATACAGTACTCCATACAGTACAAACTTCAGGGAATCAACAATTAATGCAGATTTCAGAGGCATCACCGAGGCAGGAAAAGCAAGACTTAGAAGATGTATTTTTTACCAAAAAAGAACATTTTAAAATGCCTGTGTGGATTGGCCAGCCAACCAAAGTCTAAATTAAGGAATATTTAAAATTACTTATCTCAGGAAAAGGATTTTACACAAATTATATTGATTCCTTGACTACTAATTCCTCAAACCTCAACATCTAGGTCAGCAGCACACCATTCTTTAGAGACACATGGCGTGAAGGTCATCTAAAGTACCCCCCGTCCCACGCTCTCTTGTAATGTTTTGTAATCTACCACTTCTAAGAGCTCTCTCTTAGCATCAATAGGCATACGGAGTTAGCAGAGGAATCTCATGACCAAGTTATTCTTAGCCAAAACACAGCGCTATTTTACGCAATCCCAAAAGACCTGGTTACAAAATCACAAATGGTGAACAGAAATATTATCCTAATTGGCAAGGAAGTTTTTTCCATTTTAGAGGGCTTATCCAGAGAACCATAAACACTTACCTCAGGAAGTGCTTCATTGTGTCCGTTTTGATTACCCAGATGTTATCCAAACTGTTCTCAAGTAATTGTTTCCAAATTTGCCTTTGTCAAAGTAAGTATAAGCTGTGGGAAGAAATGAGATATATTTACTATTAAGGGGGCTGGAAATCCCAAACCCAGAATTTCTGCTTACCTTGTAAGCAGACAACATGCTATATACACAGAACATTATCAATCGAACAGCCCACATAGCAACACAATTCAATGGATGGAGACTATAGCTAAAGCCTTTTACTTTATAATTATACAATTAGTCTTTCATTTTAAGCCACTTGCTGGAGGAATTATTAGTTTCACAAGTGAGCTCTTTAATAGTGAGCTTTTTCTCTATTTTGGGTATTGTTCCTATATCTAGAAGAACAGTATTTGTAAAAAAAAAAAAAAAAAAGAAGAACCATAAAATTAACTACGCTGACTTCCAGATATCTGATGGTTTTAAATGTGGCAGCCTCAACCTTCCAGAAATACAACACAAAAATAACTAGGAGCAACTGGTATGTCTTTAAGCTAAAAAATAGCTGTTTAAGAGCCAAGTACTCCAAACAAATGAATGATATGCCCCTGGCCCTGTTTGTTTTTTTTTTTTTTTGGCACTGTGAACTAAACAGGAAGATTTTATATTTGTCTAGCACTTCTCAGTTTACAATTTGCTTTCACAAAGTCTACAACATCAGGTTATTGGTCTTCCTTTCGACAAGGAAGACAGCAGAAACTGCTTACAAAGCAGCAAGTTGGAATGAGTTGGGAAGAAACAGACTAGAGAAAATTCTCAAGATCATCAAAAACAAAGAAAGTCTGAGAAACTGTCACAGCTAAGAGGTGCCTAAGAAGACACGACTACTAAATGTAATCTGGTATCCTGGGTGGGATCCTGGAACAGAAAAAGGACATTAGGTAAAAACTAAGGAAATGTGAATAAGCATTGATTTTAGTTAAGGTTTAGGTATCAATATTTAGTTAGTTTAGGTATCAATATTGGTCCATTAGTTGGGACAAAAGTGTCATATTAAGGTAAGATGTTAACAATAAAGGAAACTGGGTACTGTATAAGGGAACTCTCTGTACTATCTTTGTAACTTTTCTGTAAATCTAAAAGTATTCTAAAATTAAAAAATTATTACAATATGTTGGTGCTTATGCTCCAGACAGAGTTAGGCACTAGCGATACAGGGTGAACAGAGGGGCATGAGTTCCATCCTCCAGACCCAACAGCCTTGAGGGAAGAGAGGAGAGAAGATGATACAGAGAAACAAATAGGTACTTAAACATCGTACAGTAGTCTCCCCTTATCCTCAGGGGATACGTTCCAAGACCCCCAGCAGACGCCTGAAACCTCAGATTGTACCAAATCCTATATATACTATATTTTTTCCTACTCATACATACCTATGATAAAGTTTAATTTGTAAATTAGGCACAGTAAGAGATTAACAACAATAACTAACAATAAAATAGAACTATTATAACAATATACTGTAATAAAAGTTACTGTAGAGGGCCGTCCCCGTGGCTTAGCGGTTAGGTGTGCGCGCTCTGCTGCTGGCGGCCCGGGTTCGGATCCCGGGCGCGCACTGACGCACCGCTTCTCCGGCCATGCTGAGGCCGCGTCCCACATACAGCAACTGGAGGGATGTGCAGCTATGACATACAACTAGCTACTGGGGCTTTGGGGGGAAAAAAAGTTACTGTAGATTTTAGCAACCTCAGCTTACAATTTTTTTTCTTATTAAGTCGAGAACTTTCATCTTTTCATCTTAAAGGAAGCTCTTTATGGCTTCTCTTTGGCATATCCGAATTGCCAGGATCACTACTCTTGCACTTTGGGGCCATTATTAAGTAAAATAAGTAAAATCCCACTGCAATACCTGGGAAAGTTGATCTGATAACTGAGAGGGCTACTAAGTGATTAACGGGCGGGTAGCAAATAGAGCATGGATATGCTGGACAAAGGGACGATTCGTGTCCTGGGTAGGACGGGCAGGACTGTGCAAGATTTCATCATGCTACTCAAATAGGCATGCAATTTAAAACTTACGAATTGTTTGTTTCTGGAATTTTCTATTTCATATTTTCAGACCATGGTTGACTGCAGGTAACTGAAACCAAGAATAAGGAGTGGACTACTGTATTACAAGTGGAAATAGGTGCTGTGACAGTGAGTATGAGAGATGCCTATCCTAGATGTAGGGGTCAAGGGGTTCCCCAAATAGCACATGCAAAGTCCTAGAGCAAGAGAATACACAATGTGTAGAAGGGAAAATGTTCAGTTTCCTAGTGTGTTGCTCAGTGAGAGGGACAGGTTAAAGCAGGGATGGCAAGACATGGAAAGGCAAGAAAAGGTCAGATCATCCAAAGCTTTGTCAGCAATATTACAGACACGACAACCTTAGACCATGAGAAATGAGGAACCATTGAAAGTTTTCAAACTGAGATGTGACATGATCAAATTTCTAGTTTTAAAAATATACTCTTGTGTATTGTAGTATTTCTGTATGTATGTGATTGTAGTATGGAAAATAAATTGGATTGCGGTGAAATTATAGATAGGGACACCTTTAGAAGGTTGTTACAATAATCCAGGCAAAGATAATAATGGCAGGATAAGGCAATGGACAGAGACAGAAGTAGATGGATTTGAGAGATATTTAGAAGGTAGAATCAATAGAACTTTTGTTAATTGAGTGGAAATTAGTGAAGGAAAAAGAGAGTCAAACATTATGCCCATGTTTGTGGCTGGCAACTGGGTAGATAGTGGAATCTTTCACTAAGATATAGCATTCTGGAGACGCAGATTTGGGTGTCTGGGTGTATTTGGAGATGTTTGGGGCATTTTGAATTTGCAGGGTCAAGTGGTAGTGTGGATCTACATGAATCTGAAGGTGAGGAGAGCAATGCAGGTTGGAGACCAAGATTTAGGATTCCTCAGCATATAGATGGTAAATAAAACCACAGCCCAGAAGGAATAACCAAATAAGTAGCATATACAACACCTATTGCTTATAACAATAGTTCTTTGTCATTAGAATATTATTAAATTAGAATTGTCATACTATTAGGGTAATAAAGAATGGAATACATTTTAGAAAGATTTTATCAAAATGAAAAAAAAACCCTTTATCCTTAAATGGTTTAATTTCAGTTAGCTAGAAAACTGGTTTACCTAAAAAAATCTCATTTCTTAATAATGTGGGATAAATGAAGTATATAATACTTCAGCTTTCTCCCTGTACATAGGGGTTCCTGAGTCTATCCATTTAAAAAAACTTCTTGAATGCTTAAGTGCCCAGCATTATGCTGGATAATGCATACAGTTTAATACCGTGAGGGAGCCTTACTATTATTTAAGGAGAAATTTGGCAAACATGGCAGAGAGTGTGCATGGTGGTTAAGAGTACAAGTTTTGGAGACAGGGAGTTTGTATCTGGGATCTACAATTAGCTGAGTAGCTTTAGACAAGTTGCTTAACCTCTCTAAGATTCGGTTTTCTCCCAGTTAGATGGGGAGAGTAATTATAACTACCTTGCAGCATTGTTCTAAGGACTGAATGAACCGAAGCATGTAAGGTGCTTAGCGTACTTACAGGTATGTAACATGCATTCAATGAGCAGTACTCAGTATTAGTGTTATTATTTTGCCATTCTTATTATAGCCTCCTCTAAAGTAAAAGATCATTTTGTTAAGTAAAGAATCACTCAGGAGACTGTTAAAATACATTCTGGCAACTTGTGACCTGAACTGGGACAATGACAGTGGTGATGGGGAGAAGTAAACAGAAGTGGAAGATATTTGGAAGGTAGAATCAATTGGACTTAATGATTGGATAGGAAAAGTGAAAGGAAGGAAAATAACAATTAGTTCTAATTATCTGTCCCCCAAACAGGAAAGAAAGACAACAATTAGTTCTAATTATCTGTCCCCCAAAGAAGAAACACCAAAAATGGCTCTGGTGGTAGAAGAAAGCCTGTGCAAATGCTATTTAATGCACTGCTCATTGGTATTCATTAAATAACTTCTTTAAATGTTTTCTGTAGAAAAACAAAAAAAATTACTGCTTACTTTACTTTTAAAATCTAGCTTTGTTCTGAGGAGGCATACTTGTTAATGTCCTATTTACCCTTAATTAGACAACCTGTATAAAAGACAGGAACATGGAACCAATCATAGTTGGTATGCAACATATGATAGTCTGAGTCACTATTGGTTAGAAATGTCTTTCGAGCTGTTTTTCCAGGAGTGGTGCTGTGTTAATCCACTCCTTTGTGTTAGGCCTCCTTTGTAGCCAAAAGAGCATTTCTCCAGGGGCTGGGCAAGGCCTAAGGTTGGGGAGAATTTGAGTTTGCTTCTCGTCTGCACAGCGCTCTAACAAAATGGTAGCCCTTAGAGACTTCTCAAGTATTTTACACATCAGCCTGTCGACTTGAACTTGATTAAATGTAAGTTACTTGCCTTGTTTATATCTGTCTCACTAATTGAAAAACACTGATATTAACTTTTTCTTTAATTCAGATTTATTGAGGTAATATTTACATAAAGTTCACCCTTTTTTGGTCAGACATTAACTCTAATGCCACCTGTTTCACAGCATGCAAGGAGAACATGAAAACTGCTCTGCGAGCTGTCCTTTCCCTATAACTTTCTCTCTAGAGGGTTTTTTTTTGGGGGGGGGAGGAAGATCAGCCCTGAGCTAACATCCATGCTAATCCTCCTCTTTTTGCTGAGGAAGACTGGCTCTGAGCTAACATCTATTGCCAATCCTCCTCCTTTTTTTTTTTTCCCCAAAGCCCCAGTAGGCGGTTGTATGTCATAGTTGCACATCCTTCTAGTTGCTGTATGTGGGACGCGGCCTCAGCATGGCCAGAGAAGCAGTGCGTCGGTGCGCGCCCGGGATCCGACCCCGGGCCGCCAGCAGCGGAGCGCGCGCACTTAACCGCTAAGCCACGGGGCCGGCCCTCTAGAGGGATTTTTAACCTGAGGTGGACAACAGAATTACCTGCTGTAATTGCCTGATTTTAAATCTCTCCTGTTGTCCTAAAATGATCTGTTTCATGTTTCTCTCCCCTCTG